TGGGATCTAATGTCTAATAAGTACTTTAACAAATTTTACTGATATATATGCATCTTAATCTTATTAGATTTTTCGAAGGCTTTTGATAAGCTAAACCATGATCTACTGATTGCTGTTCTTCACTACTTGGGTTTTTCTAAAAGTGCGGTTCATTTATTAAGGAAATTACCTCAAAGATCGGGCACAGGTTGTCAAATGCTTTGGTGAAGCATCCGAATTGTCTAAAGTTTGTCGAGGTGTACCTCAAGGATCTGTTTTAGGTCCACTCTTGTACACTCTGTATACCTCTCAGCTGCACAAAAGTTTTAAACACGTCTCATATCACTATTACGCCGATGACACTAAATTATATATTGCTTTTAATGAATCAGATATAAACCGAACTTTAACTACCATCAATGAGGACCTTCAGGTTCTTAATCAGCTAACAAAAAAATATTGTCTCTCCGTCAACGCCACTAAATCTAAGGCTCTACTATTTGGTAAAAACAAGAATCGTGAACTCCAATAATTTAGACATTTATTTCGGACAAGACAAAATAACTTTTCCAAACTAAAAATTTAGGGGTTATTATGGATACAGATCTACGCTTTTCCCAGCATGTCTCTCTTATAACCAAAGGGCATTTTCGTCATTTAAACTGCTATACAATAGCAGCAGCATAATAACCAAGACAACAAAGATAATATTGTGCGAGTCTTTAGTTCTTTCTCACCTCAGCTATGCAGACTGCGCGTACGGCCCGTCATTGCTACATGGAGATAAGGCGCGCCTTCAGCGTATTCAAAATTCTTGTGTCAGGTTTGTTAGTGGTATTAAAAGGCGGCAGCCGATATCTCAGGTTTGTTAGTGGTATTAAAAGGCGGCAGCCGATATCTCTTCACTTAAAGAACTTAGGTTGGCTCAATATAGAGAAAAGAGGGTTCCTTCATCGATCCGTACTATACCACAAGATACTCAATACTGAATCACCATCCTATCTTTACAAGAAGATCAAGACCCGTACAGAAGTGCATAGTCGTAACACGAGGTTTAAACACCATCTCTCAATACCTAAATTTAAAACTTCAAATTATAAGTGCTCTTTTTCATATGACATAGTTAAGGTTTACAACTCGCTGCCTGATAGAATTAAAGTCCTATCAATTTTGAGATTTAAGCGAGAAGTGAAGACTATGTTGAGACTTGAGATAACTTAAATTTAACACTGCACGCTGATTTGCCAATTATTCTTCTGTATGTCTTTTTGTTTGATCTTTGACATTTTACCTTCATAAGATATTAGCTACAACTTCTAGCAATCTCATTCAAGCATCAACTCGTTTTGTATTATAGGTTTTACCAAGGTGCCTGCAACAGTTATATGTCATCTATGGATGTATAATATAATATATAGTTTTCAAACATAATATGTCTATATGTATCTGTGTTAACGTTTAAATTTTCTCTTGCTGTTATTATTATTCCTGATATACTACTTTATTTTTTTTTTGTTAGTTGGAAGAGTGCGGATTGACAAATAATGGTTGTCAATCAAGCGAACCTTGCCGTTTGCTCACTGCATCAGATTATTTACTTGTTCTTTTTCTGTACTTACATGAGCAATAAAAGCAATTTGTTATTATTATTATTATTATATTTAATAAGCCAGTAACAGGCTTTTACGTTGTCTACCAACTATTGTAATTTCGTGATAGTTTCAACGCACTATGCACTATTTTTTTCGTTTCAAAGTGGGTGAAGAAAGCAATAAGATTCTCGGCACCGTGGTTTTGAAAATTCATAGTCCTCAAAGCTACTAGGTCGTGCGCGATATTTTTGTTACTGATTTCATCATTGCATGGTATGTAAAAAAATTGAAAACATTTTTTTTTTAAGAAAAAGCTGTCCCAAGTCTAGAACTTAAATGTTCTCGCCAAAATGAAGCAACAGTTACGATGACGTCACTCCTGTTGACTGAAGGTCATCACTGATATCAAAGAGCTGCTATAAGTGTCCTGTGATATACTCGTATGTCACATTGCAGTGCCAAAAGTTTTCACATACTTCCGGGGTCATTCCTATTAGCAAGAAGTATTTTGAGCCGGTGGGCCAGTTTCTGTTAGAATCCTGAATATTGTTAGGAGTGATAATATGGAAATAATCTAGGCCCAACGCAGCTCTTATCAGAAAAATCCTTTAGAGAAATAAATGCATTTTTTTAATGTCACTGACGCTGACTATTCAATAACGCTGATCTTTCAAAGGCGGCATAATAAATCACCATAACCTCAGAGATCAAAAACACGAAGGACATCGATGGTGCTAATTCTTGGAAATGCATAATTATATTTTATATTTTATGAAATCTGGAACTTGAAAAAAGAAACATGTTTGGCGTATCTCAGTTTGCGTAAAAAATGTCTCTCCGACTGAGGTGTTCACATAAATCAATTACTGGATGTGCGACTGTTCAGTGTCAGTTGTCGGTGCTTTCCCCTAGTAATTACATCGAATTTAGCGATGAAAGTCAAAACATGTTACTGCTATTTACATATTATCAAACGGATAATTATATTTCCTTATCACATAAACTGGTATTGAAGCGTAAAATTTCAGACTGTTAACTGGCAACGACTGAGATCTGGTAATGGTATTCTTATTACATTAAGTTAAACTCTTGAGTCTAGTCTTGTAAATCGATTAGCATGTACCGTCGCTTCTTCTATTGCACTTGGGGGTCAAAATAGCTACAAAGGATAACCACAAATAATGTGTGTTACAATCATGTTGTTTGGTGTCATACACTTTATTTATTTATTTATTTATTTATTTATTTCCAACAGGTGAAACCCAATTACAGGAAATGCTGAAAAAAATAACAATTAAAGAGACATGGTTCTTCGACTTAAATCTATAGTATCACACATTCTAAATAAGATTGGATGATCTATAGCAGTTAATAATCGATGGACAACTGTCACTGTAAATATCACACGATTCAGTAACACTGTTCATGAGGCAACACATGAGATTAATTGGCGATTTTGTCATTTGTATGGCCAGCTTGACAATAGAATGCCGTTTGTTGTCGACTTCCTAGCCTTGGAAGGCGGAAACATATCTTTTCAAGTAAATTTTGACAGTCAATTTTATTGTGAATTAGGCCATACAAAAACGACAAAGCAAATATGTTTCGTCTTGTTGACAGTGAATCCAAATTGAAAAACTCTAATAGGGCACTATGGTCACAACCTCTTTCTGGATAAGAACCTGTGCATTTAAGGTGAAAATACTTTAAAGCTTTACGTTGAATGGCCTCAAGGATCACGACAGAATTTTGGTATATAGGAGACCAGATCAGAGTCGCATACTCCAACTTGCTCCTGACAAAAGTAAAAAATAAAGTCATTAATGCATCAACATTGGAGAAACCCTTCCAGTTTCTGATACAGAAACCAAGTAGTCGAGTGGCAGCCGACGAGATATTGAGTATATGCTCAGTAAACGTTTCCTTGGTATCAAAAGTGACTCCAAGGTCTCTATACGAGGTGCATCTGTCTATAACCTGACCATTGATGTTATAATTATCATCAATTAAATAGTTAACCTTTCTTGTATAAGTCATAATTTTACATTTACAAACATTCAGACTGAGACAGTTTCGTGAACACCATAATGAAATTAGAGCTAAGTCATCTTGCAACATGACGCAATCCTCGACTGTCTTGACTGACGTGCAGATTTTAAGGTCATCAGCGAAAAACAAATGGAAACACTTCAGTTCAAAAGACAAGTCATTAATATATATCAAAAACAGTAATGGACCTAGATTTGACACTTGAGGTACCCCGGACGTGGCCCGTTAGTAACTCGACCTATGACCACCATATTCGACAAACAACCTTCTATCCCTCAAATATGAATTCATGAGCGACAGCATTGCATCAGACATACCCACTGTTTTAAGCTTATCCAGAGTGCATAATGATCAACTTGATCAAACGCCTTTGGAATATCTGTGTAGATTACATCAACTTGTCCCTGACCGTCCAGTACTTCAGAAATGTACTGAGTAATAGAGTCGGTGACCGTTGATCTGCCTCTCATAAGCCCATACTGATTAATAGAGACTGCACCCCTTACCGAGCAGTAAACCGTTTCATAAGCGATGATCTCAAACCACTTGCTGAAATTGCACAGGATTGCTATTTGGCGATAGTTGGAAATATCAGAGATATCTCCACTTTTGTGAATAGGACATATTTTAGAGGTCTTCCAGATATTTGGATATGTCTCTGATTTTAGAATTAGGTTGAATATGGAAGCCAGCGGTTTCGCTAGTATATGAATGCAATCTTTAACGAAAAAACTTGGAATACCATCACATCCAGACGTTATTTTGGTCTTTAATCTTTTCGAAGCCCTAACACTTGTGTGTCATTTACACAAGTCATTAGTTGAGCATAATTTTATTTTAATGTACCAAACATTAATTTTAAAATCGCTTCATTTTCTTTAATATATTATATAGGTAATATGTATGTCCAATTTCAAGTAGGATCTAGATAAATTCTTAAATATAATGTATCATTGATTATACTGATTTTTAAATTTTCATCATTTTTCACCAGGTAGTGATGAAAATGATAAAATGTGTTTTAGCAGCCAATTTTAAGTTATTAAACCACTGGATAATTTTGCAAAAGTTATTTTTGATAACAACTTTCAAGTCGTTCCAATTTTTACGTATTCACAGTATATTCTCCTATGGCCTCAGTTGTGGCAAGCTTTTGTGAGAAAATAAGTTAGTAACTTATGAATGGCTGTTTATTGGCCCTATCTTAGAAACCGCATATGAAGATAAAGTCTCATGGTTTACAAGCAGCAGTCTTGATGTTTTAGGAATATTTCCGCTTTCGCCTAGGTACGTATATTTTAACGGTTTTCTCATTCCATATTTTGACTTACGCACTTTTTATAGGGTATTATGTATAATATAATTTTTTCTTCATAATACTTACGCCCCGAGCACCGTGTAGAACTCTAACGTGAAGTGATAGTAACATATTTTAGGCGGTTCTCCTTCCCTACACGCTCTCGCACATTCGTTGGGGTGCGACAGTGAGGGGTTGTTTCGTAGTTCTGCTGTCGATGACGTCCTGAAATTAATGAAAAATAACATTATACTCATTCAAGCACCAGAAGCTATGGCTACTGAAAACATCAGCAAGTAGCCAAAGCTGTTGGTATAAATTTTGATGGGTCACAGAGTATTTAAGTTGCAGTGCCTTAAACTATAAAACACGGAACATTGTTCTTCATCTTAGAGATGACTGGTTGCACTTTTTGTAGGAAGGGTATTCGAAAAGGTTGACAGAGGGGCAGGGGGCAGAAAGAACCTGTAAATACAGCCATCTAACAAAAATGCCTTGAGTGTTTGTTTAAAAACAATTTTGGAGAATCCTTGATTCATTCAAGTTTAATGAACACTTTACAGCTCATATAGTATTTTTAGAAAGCACTTGTGCGATGCTTAGGGATTATTGAAAAATTTTTAGCTCTAGTGAGGTAACTATGGTCATCCTTTTCGTTCAAAAATGTATTCAGACCATTTTTGTGGATAGTTATAAATTATTTCTGTTTCATCATTACTCAAAACAGTTAGTAATATATAAGTCTCATCTGCGTATAGCACCACTTTACACTCAGAATGAGCACTAGAAATGCATTCAGGTCGTTGGCTTACAATAAAAACAAAAAGGGCCAAGTTCGGATCCTTGTGGGACTCCCATATTCAAAACCTTCGCCGTGTGTCCTATTAACAGAGACATATATCTTTTATGTATCAAAATTTGACCGGAAAAGTTGGGGTAAGCCTCGAATTCTATACCTATACACCTCAAACAGCAACAGTTCAAGAACGACATAATCAATAGCACAAGAAAAACCTAAAAAAAGACAACATATTTGCTGTTTTTTGTCAAGAACATAAATGATATTATCTTAAATTAGTGGTGGCGGAGCTAGGGACGAACAATGAAAAAAATAGAAATCGCTCCCACTTATTTTTTTCACGTTTTAGGCTTCTGTTAGTCTCTAGAAATTGCTTTGAAAGGGCCTAAGATTGGGGTTGAGAACTACAGGGGTGAGGGATAGTAAATGTTGCATGCTTGATGAATGACGTTCTGCAACTAAGAAAGTGTTGATTCCCGCAATTAAAATGACAAAAAGATGAATGATCTGCTCACACTCCGATGAAACAATGACTAAGGCCGTATCGCCAGTCGTCCCTACAATTGGAATACGCCTTTATGGCCTCCTTGATTTTCATAGTTTTCTACTGTTCCGTGTCAGCGCTCTGTTTTGAGGTTATGTTACAAGTATCCATTTGCATCAAATTGTTCATGCTTTTAATTTATCATCTATCACATCAGCCTAAAATTTCCTGCAATTTAGAAAGAAACCGTAGCCTCACAATAGGAAAAGTCTGACACGGAACAGTGGACATCTAGAAATATCGCAGCCTTTCTGAAGGAGAGAAAAGACTATGAAAATCAAGGACGCCATAAAGACGTCCTACAATACAACGGGTAACTGTGGTGGGCCAACAGCGATGCTAGACACGTCGAGAAAGAGGAAAAATGAACTTGAATATTTATAGTCTGGAAATATTTGAGCATTAGGAGTGGGTAAATGTAGGTAGGTACATATTTCCGTGGATAAGAGAATAGTTTTCAAAGACGTTATGACAGGAAGGGTTTGTCGTCAAGAAGATTGACTTAGTACTTCTCATGCATTTGTATTGAGCTGTGTTCAAAACTCTTTTAACTACATATACATTATGAATTTCTTAAAAACTGTTCCTGTAGGTACATCGTAATATAGTAGAGTTTTTGAGGCTTACGATATATCGTACTTGAAAGAACATACTTAGTCGAGATTCGATACTCGATACTCATGCATTCGTTTTTTCAAGCTTGCAGATTTTGCAAAAAGCGTGAGAAGTGTAGGGTGAATCTACTTAACAACATTTTTTATTTTTTTTTTGGCAAAGACACTTCCTCGCAAAGAGTTTGTCTGCCCATTTTGTTCAAAGGTTCCAGTTATCCTGATGAGTTATGGAATTGAGTCATTCCTAAAATTTGGTTTGGAGTGCACATAAGTGAAAGTGTTGTAAATAAGTTCCAAATTTCTTACTGGTAAAACAGACAGTCCAGGAATTAAATATCAGTGGGTAAAAACAGTAATTATGACTACATTAAACGAACCACTCATTGCTGAGCACTGAAACGATCTGCTCGACTGTAACATACTTATATAAGTTAAGAGCCTACTGTTAAACTGTCATTTAGCTGTACGCTGTTGGTTTCTGTGCCGCTTGGATTACGTTCTGCGTAGTGTGAATAACATTGTACTGTATTAAGAGGTACAATTACCCGATGCAATAGATATGTAACTAACATACTTGAATAATAACCATATGTGGTGTAATCTGTGAAGGATATCGCTCTTACTATTTAGTATACCGAAAAATGTAGCGATGTTGTAAATTTGGTGCAACATATATGCAATTAAATGTAAAATTCTTCATGAAAACGAAGATTCAATGTTTCAATCAACGAAGTCGATACCTCTTCAAACAAGATTAAAGAAAAGCAACGGTTATCTCAAGCTGTTCCTGTACCCAAAGAGCTCAGAGAAGGATGCTTTCTTGCCCCTACACCTTAGAGGAGGCGCTTAGAGAATGGAAGCGAAAATGCCACAATATGGAGGTTAACATAGTGAAACTTTGTACATGATGCTGTTCGCAGACGACTAGGTATTGCTCGCAGAAGACGAGGGTGATGCATTGTATATACATGCTGAGTAAATTAAACAAAGAATCTGGTTAATAGGGGATGGAGATAAATACGCAGAAAACATAATACTTAGTACGAGTAGCAGGAAGTGATCTGCACTTTTATGTTCGCACAGTGAAAAACTGCAAGAAATTTAAATACCTGGAAGTTTCAGGCAACGGAAAAAGTGACGAAGAGATTCGGAATAAAATATTACAGGGAAAAGCGGGTCATTAAACAATTGAATTTCGTTTTATGGAACGACAAAGTCTCTAGAAAAACAAATCAAGCTATTTAGAAGACTATCCGAAAGGTATTTGTACGTACGGTACCGAAACATGGAAGATGAGACAGCGCAATAGGGGTAGCCTGAATACTCTGGAGATGGGCTTCAGAGCATAAAATGAGGATGTGGGAAGAATGGCGGAAGTAAAGGAGACTATCCTCGACACCATAGAGGCCAAACAACTGATCTGGTATGGTCATATAAGAAATATGACAGACTACAGATGGCCCAAAGAATATGGAAGGCGTAAGCCGTGTAGACCAAGAAGAGAATGGAGTCAAAACATTAGAATAGAGATAGAAGCTAGAGGACTCCCGGAAGGCAATGGGGTGGATCGATCCCAGTGGCATTGAGGAAGCGAGAGATGGCGTCAGCCATAGAACAACTCGCATATACATAAACAAGATTAGATTATATTAGGAGTTAATATAGGCGCCTGTATGCCACTGCGGCTCATTTGGTAACCCCCTCTCCAACATACTCTGCCTAAAATATTGTTACCAGTATTGATCCTCCAACCAGATTCCACAACCTCGATACAGGAGCTTGATTATAGCTTTTCGCGATTGAGTTCGTGATTCCAAATATCTGGAACCTCAGCTTACCAAACCTTCGCAATAATACCGGAACCGATTTCTTCGATTCGTTCACGGTTCCTTTCGATTCCGAATCCCGCAAATCCAAAACTCACCATCGGTGTTAATCAGCATTACAAAGGAACGAACCTGCAATAGGAATCGATTTATTTACACATCGATTCCGAAGGTCTTGATTCTTGATGCCGTACTCGATAATTTTACTGTGCAAAACACATGCATCTGTGGATGTGGAGGTCGCTTTTAATTTTAAAATTTCCAAATGATGAACGACCTGTTGTGGCAGTGTGCTGTGGGTATCTTGCCGTTGAACGGTCACGAACTCTGTAGCATGAAACAACTTCTAAGCGGTAATGAGGGGATACTCCTCCGCAAGTGCACTGTTGACACTTTTACGCAATTTCCAACTTCGTATCGGAAATTGTGTACAAGTTGGTAGCGGCGATTTTCGACATGAAGCAGTATGGAACAGTTCTTTCAATTACAAACCGGTTTTGGGAATCAAAATTGAAACCACCGGGATCGGAATCAAGCTTTTGAGAGTCTGATACAGGAGACGAATCAATTCCTTCAATTGTCCCTCTGCAATCGTTTCTTAATAGAGGAGGTCCACTGAAGTTATCTCGCGCTCCCTGCAAGACAGACACATAGCCCCTTCTTCTAGATCCAAGAGCTTCACGTGTCGTTTTAGACGACAGTGCTCTGCTAGCAGACCTAGCATAGCCTTTTTGGTCTTCCTATTGATCCTTAGCAAGGCCTCAGTAAGAAATCTCCACTGGAGTTATCTCGTGCTCGCTGTAAGATGGGCACATAGCCCCTTCTGCTAGATCCAAGAGCCTCATATGTCCTTTTAGACGACAGTGCTTTCTTAGGAGACCTACCATAGACTTTATGGTCTTCCTTATGTCCGAATGTTAGCAAGGCCTCAGTAAGTAATCTCTACAAACTCTTCCCTTCCTTTAAACGAATACCTATACATTATCGAACATGGATTTAAAACAAAGAAAAGTTCTGTTTCGTATTATAGGTGAGAGGCAGTATCATTTCCGGCACCAGCGTCTTTAAGCTCCTTACAGGAGCCAGGGTGCCCCGGTATTCAGGCTTCCGCCTACGCGTCTGGTTTAGTATAAAAACATAGTGTAGCATCTGCTGAATTCATTGTACTTAGTAGGCATTTCTCAAGAGATTTCACAGAAACAAATCAAGGTTATGATTTAAGACTGACAATATGGTGAACTGCAACAAAATATGCTAGAACATTATTATGGGAATTAAACAAAGCTTACCTATAGTCTAAGTGTCTATACGTTGAACCAGACGTCTTCTGGCCCCCAATCCCTCCAGTGGCCCCCAAGCTGGGGTGAGTCTGAACGACCCCATGTGTTGACGAAAACAGATCCGTATGATCTGGAATATTCGCTCCTATATCTGATGACCAAAAACTGGCGGCAGCCTGTTGGTCTGTGGCTGAAAAGGAAAACACCAATCAATTACGAATTATCCACCATGAAACTTCATCATAATACAAGAAATTAGGAGAAAAACCATCGATTTATGTGACTTCCAAGAAGACGCTCAACTTATTTTCATTCACAAAGGTTGGGACTATGGAAGGATATGCTCTTTGTAGGGCCGATTCTTAAAAAGTTGTAGTCATTGGCATGCGACAACAATTTTTTTCTGCTCACAGTGACACCCATCAAACTCAAAAACATAGACGCGGCAGCAGATCATGCGCATTGTTATTTTATCATCCGCTTTGTCAATTTCGGTCGTCGACGTTAAAATTATAATAAGAGCTCACAACAAAACGTAAGTTTTAAAGTTGATATACTAATATATATTTTAAACATCCTCACTCTGAGTCAATATATAAGTATGTATTTGCTATAGTACTAAAGAAAAAAATTACTACTGCATTTCTATGTTAGTTAAAATATCGTAGTAGCAGGGTTAAGGTTATTAGGACCATCAAGTAATCATAAAAATATTGCAGCATTTTTATTGTTTAGTTACAGGAGCGTCATTCGGTGACCCTAGAACATTTATTGATTGCAATTCCATTATCTTTTAGGATCTATATAAGTCTAACAGCTTGCTGACAAAAAATATGTTTTCAGAAGCAAAGTATTGCAGAGAGTGTAGGTAAGGCTCGATAGGGCTCTCCGTCCGTTGTTTCATACGCTTTAGCCATCATCAGTATGGTATAGGCCCTGTCATTAGAGACAGACATCGGGAAGCATGCAAACGGATATGGCTCTTCTGAAAATATCAGTATGCAGTGCGTGGAGAGACTTTATATTATATGAATTTTGATAGAAAATGAAATCCCATATTCTGCGCAAATAGTTCGAGAGACGGCAAGTTGGTCATCACGAGCCAGAGATCGAACACATATACATATAATTGTAAGCATAAATGGTTAGCCATGGTACATAAGCCTGTTTTGCGCACATGCGCGATTTCCAATTCAATTTAGTATCTTCTGTTGGAGTAATTATGCTAATCAATGGTTTTACCGTTAGATGAGCAGATCGTAGCCTGTGTTGCCATTAGAATTCTCATATGATGCTTGGGTTGTGTAACATTAGCGGTAACACTGTATGTTGGGTGGCCTGTGGCATCATGACCTAGACCTTCCGGCTCTTCAACCGTCAACACCAACGGCCTTCGCTTTCTTCATAAGGCTCAGAAACAGATATTCAGCGACTCGGTGGTATTATTTCTAACATCTATGGTTTACTTTTTCTGAATCAACCATTTACTAAGCGGCACGTCTATCGTCCTCAGCATCTTTGATCTGGTAGCATTGCTGATACGCATAGATAATCGCTGATCTGCTGAACTGTCATAATGTGTCTCCTTTTCCAAGCCGTATTACAAAATTGGGTTAGCGTACAGCGCACATGCCTAGCAACAATTTCATACAGTAATTCAAGCAACAATTCACATTATGTTGCATTACCTTTTGCCATAATTATGTAAATTAATAGCATAAACGCTTTCGTTATGTTGAAAGAAAAAGTAAGTTGACTGTAAAATGTAACAGCCCATACCGTTTGAATGACAACAAAACCAACAAAAAAACCTCAAGAACTCGATCAGCCTTAAGAGCGGCGTTTGCACGCGTTCTACATTGACAAGCAATTGATGTATTGACAAGCTTTTCTGTACTCGTTGTAAAAATGTGAGTATAAGAATCTTGTGAATAATTTTTGTCACCGATCTCTTTCCGAGAGGAATAATAATAATATTTTTTTTAAAAATATGAGTAAATAAATATAAAATCAAAACAGGCCCAATAGAAGGCATCGCCTGTACATGGACCGATAAATTTAAGTTGAAACTGTAGAATGCAAATGACAAAAAGGACAAAAATTAGCTACAGTAGATTATGTATTTAGTTGATGTTCGTATTTATGAGTTTATGAATTTCAGTCCTAGATATAGAATGTAGCCACTTTTTTAAATTTCTTTTGAAACAATTTCCGAAACGTAAATCTTTTAAGTCTTTAGGTATAATTTCATAAAATTTAGGCGCTAAATAGAGATATGATCGCTGCATTATAGATTTATGCGGTTGAGGAACTACTGTGCCACGAATTTTGCACCTGGTATAATGATTATGTTTAATTTTTTGGTCGGTGTTTACAAATTTATGGTAGTGAGTGATACTGTGTAAGAAACAAAGCTTTCTTATATCATACATTCGAACATCTGCGTATAATTTTTCAGTGGGATAAAGTTTCGGTTTTTTAAATATCATTTTTAGAATACTTTTTTGAAAAACATCTAAATTATAGATATGTGAGGAACATGCAGCTCCCCATGCTAATATACCATATGTGAGATGAGGCTCAATCAGTGCATGGTATAATGTTCGAAGATATTTTTCTGTCAATATATTCCCAAGGTATTTAATTCTGTAGGATACAAAACTAACTTTCTTTAAAATATAATTGACATGGATGTCCCATCGTAAGTGAGGATCCAAGACCACTCCAAGGTATTTTATGTTGGGCACTCTATCAATTTGCATTTTTTGATCATTAATATTGAAGGAGAAATTTGTGTAATTTGGCAGATGTCTAGCATAAGATCCAAATGGTAAAAAATGTGTTTTAGAGTAGTTAATGCTTAATTTTCTACTGTTAAACCACCGAATAATTTTGATAAAATCATTTTCAATTACATTTTTCAGATCAGACCAGTCAGTGCCTTCATATAATATTGCAGTATCATCTGCAAAACTAGTTATTTTGCCAACACAATTAATTTGGAAAATATCATTTAAATATATATTGAATAACAGCGGACCTAAGACAGTTCCTTGTGGGACACCACACTTAATATACATTTCTTTACTAAATGATCCTGATATCTGCACAGATTGTGGGCGATTTGACAAATAACTTTCGATCAGTGAGTACGCGTTTCCTCTGAAACCAATTCTCTCCAATGCTTCTAATAATAATTTGTGATTAACTGTGTCGAAAGCTTTCTTTAAATCAACAAAAATGCAGATTGAAGGGATTCTGTTATCAATATTTTGATGTATGTATTTGATTTACAATTTTAGTTATTGCGTCCGATGTAGCCTTCCCTTCTGTAAATCCATATTGATTTTCACTTAAAATTTTGAATTTTGTGAGGTATTATATATATATATATATTATAGATGACATAACCAAGTATCATTACCACATTTTCCAACTCAAAGTTGCCCTCATTGCAGTTTACGGTTTTTGACGGTAATGTTCGAAATCGGCGCTCCAAATGGAAACGATGTCCCACATTTTTAGATTCCATATGAGAAAAATCTCATAAACTTCTACATGCTTGTAATCTCTATGAAAAGAATTAGTAAATCGGATGTTTACAGATCCCGAATCTGGGCCCTGCCATCCAAGTGCTACAACTTGTACAATTGTAAATATTGACTCTGGCACTACCTATAGTTACGAGAAAATTTTAGAATTATGAGCGCATTCTTAAGCACAACGTCCACACTTACAGGATTGAATTACAGAACTTCTTATAGTTGTAGTAACAGTTTTACACATTTATGTCTCTGAGCAGGGATTGGTAATGACGTAGGTAGGTATAACCGTTATTTCGCTCTTGTGAACATCATAACCGGTCACCATATGCTTATTTAATCTACCATTATTTTACTAGTTACCCGTTATGGAGTTACCGTAGATATACCTTCAGCCAGTATCTATCCGTACAAATACAGGGTTATCCAAATTAAGTGTCCACCATTAGTAACTTTGTTATTAGTGAAAATACAAAGTTGTTTGAATTAGCAAACTAGTAGCATTTTTAACGCTGGTAAAAATGAGAAATGAAAAAAAACAATTGAGAGTCGTTATTTTGATTTTTTTCAGTAAAATAACATTTTTTTAAATGGAAACCCCTGTATATTATATTTTTTTCTGTTAAAGCATCAAATTTTAAACAAAAAAGCTCACAATAACTTTTCTCCTAGGTTACAAATTGTTGAAGTTATGGCCTCCAATCTGAAACAATTAAATTGTATCGACAAACTTTATTTTCAACATCAACTTATAATCTTACAAAATACAATAACAATTTTTTTTAAAGAAGATGCTCGAAAACACCACCTTGTTTTTCAATACATTTTTGGGCACGTTTTTCAACTGCTCGAACTGTCTTAAGTATGGTCCTACCATCTATCTGGGTTATCTTTTCCCTAACTGCAGTCTTTTACGCGTCAAGGTTATCGTACCTTCGCTTGTAAATTTGGTTCTTTAAGTAACCCCACAAGAAGTAATCAAGTGGGTTTAGATCTGGTGATCTGGGAGGCCACTGTATTGGGCCATTTCTTCCTATCCACTGATCATTAAAAGTAGTACTTAGAAAATGATAAGTACCTCTGGAGTTGTGGGCAGGTGCGCCATCTTGCTGAAAATGCAGATGATGTCTACTTATAAGATCCAATTCGTCTAAGAAATTAGTCAGAATTTCTGACATAAATTCCACATATCGTTCACCAGTTAGGGTTCCCTCATAAAAGAACGGGCCAACAATTTTTGAACCAATTATACCGCACCAAACGTTGAAACTGAAACGGACTTGTGGGCCTCTTGGATGTACTAAAAAAAGATTTTCTCTTGACCAATAATGGTGGTTTTTTCTATTAAACATTCCAGAATTTGAAAAATTTGATTCATCTGTCCATAAAAGGTAACGAAAGTTATTTACATTTTGGCGACAGAAGCTAAGATACCAATGGCAAAAAACAAGTCTTCTCTCTGGATCCCCTGCCAAAAGCGTTTGAACTGGTCGGTACTTATACGGAATAAATTAGTATTTTTTTAAAATCCTTTGAACAGTACCATAACTGAAATTAGAGTCCTTGAGAATATCTGCTATTGAATTCTCACGATAAGCTTCAAAATATCCAATAACTGCAATTTCCGTGGCCTCGCTTATTATGAATT